GGGACGAGAATAAGTGGGTCTTAAGTCGTTCTTTGAAAATGGTGACAGAAGGTGACTCACGAATAAATAAAGGTAACAAGTTCCACAACTTGGGCCCAGCAACCATAAACGATCGCTCCCCACAAGACTTTAACCAAAAGGATGGACAATAAAGATTGGTTGAGTCACTTGTTGACCGGAGGGAACGAGTGCAAGTTGCAGAACGAACCTTAATTAATTCGGAAATGTATTGTGGTGATAACTTGTGAATTGATTTGTAAACATATAAAAGTACTTTGAATTCAATACGCTGTTTCACTGGCAGCCAATGAAGACGACGAAGAGTAGGGGTGATCTGATGGAATTTAGGTGTCCCAGTGACAAGACGCGCAGCGATGTTCATCAATAGCTGCAGCTTTCTAATTGATGTAAATGGTATTCCGTAAAGGACTCCATTACAATAATCCAATCTTGATGTAACCAATGCATGTACAAGTTTTGACATAGCATCTTCATTTAAAAAACGCCTAACTGCCTTGATGTTGCGCAGATGGAAGGATACTACTCTGCATGTGTTTGTAATATGTCTAATCGTGGATAGTGTGGAGTCAAACGTTACACCGGTATGTCGCACCTCAGAAGATGGAATGATGTAGGTGTCTCCCACGTGGATGTTTTCAATGATGGGTACATTTAGACGGCGTTTAGGCTTTATATACAGCACTTCTGTCTTGTCTGTATTGCAGCAAAGCATATTGATAGACAGCCATCTATGAACATCATCAATACAACCTTCTAAATTGCGAACTGTCTCTGCGGCAGCCTCCGGACTAAAAGATGTGTACAATTGCGTGTTGTCGGCATAAATGTGATATTTAATACCATGTTTCTGAATGATGTCACCAAGAGGACGTACGTAAATAAGAAACAAAATGGGCCCCAAGGTAGAACCTTGAGGAACACCAAAATTCACTGGGACTGGAACTGAAATGGCTGATTCCACTCTAACAGACTGTTGTCTAGATTTTATGTATGAGTTGAACCATGTTAATTAACCAATTTTTTCGTCAAATACTCTTTTTGTGTCTAAAACTCTGGCCATATTTAAATCCAATTTTTTTTGACAAAAAAATCTGTTGTATGCCTATATATAGTCATGATTTGATGTCATCATGACCATATTTAAGCATATCACATATATTTGTCAAATCAAATTTTTGATAGTCGGGATTTAGAAAAATCAGTACAACATATCAATGCTCTCTTCCAATGGAGCCTGTCTTTAAAAGAAAGAAAAATCTAAAAAGACACTAGGATTACCTTTTTACCTTCTGAGTGGTATGATAATCATCTTACGATTTGATTATCATCCAGTTGGCTTAACTACACAGGCATTATAATTGCGGTTGCTTTTGTGTCCACCTTGTCTCACACTTGTTTGGTTCTGTGTCTGCCATAATATAAACATAATAACCTGTTATAATGTATAGAAATAAAGTTAATTTATTGATTGACATTATCAAATATAATTATCATAAATGTCTAAAACAAAAGAAAAATTGAATGGTAAACATGATGCAATTGAGGCATGTCCCAGCAAAATGGCCTCAGCCCAATATTGAATAAATGAATACAATATGAGAGGTTGAAAAATGGCCTAAAAGTATAAAAAACCAGCAGTTAATTGATCGTATCCCAAAGCCTTAGTTCTGAAAATGGTCAACAATCCGTTTGACATTATTTTTCTAGTTTATAATTCCGATGTATGCACAAATAACCTTGAAGAAAGTTACTCAAAAGCATGTTTATCTTGACTCTAATGCTTAAAAGGGTTAAATTTCTATGAATACCCCTCATTTTTAAGATAACGTATTCAAGTATCTGAAAATAGCAATATCTTGAGTTTCAAATTTTGATACAACTGGCCATTTTGCCACAATAGTCAATGGTTGTGCACTTGTATAGCGCATATAACATTCGTTATAAATAACATTTGTTATAATTATGGTGTAAACAACAAATTTTCATAAGTAATAATTATATTTGTGTACTTTTTTTTAAGTGAATTCCTTGAGTGAATGCTAATAAAATAAAATCCAACGTTTTTTCACACTTTTTTTTTTCTAATTTCAGAGGCTCTGAATGCCTATAACTCACATGAGCAAGGCCGTCTTGTGTACCGTTATGGAGGCAACCCTGTTGGATCTTTCTTGCAACCGCCTGTTAGACCTTTGACCTCATCAGTCGCTCATGCCTTGTTAATGGATGTTACCCATGACAACCCTTCTCCAATTGAGGTGAGGAATTGAAAATAAAGTCAGACTCCGGAGGAAAAAAAAATGTTTGATATGTTGTAAAACTGATTTTTCTAAGACAGGAAAAGGCTGCTTGACAACAAACTGGGGAACAATGAATGAGATAAGGTTTTTGAATATTTAAAAACTTGAAAAAAAAAGGTGGTTACACCCCCTTTTTCTCATTCCCTAGTTATTTGTCAACTTTTTTCTGTCCTAGAAAAATCAGTTCTACAACATATCAAATTTTCTTTTTTTTCCTCCGCAGCCTGAATTTAATACAAATAATGATTTTGATTTCAACTGATTAACAGCATAAAAATTTAATGACCATCCTTCTTGAACGATTAGGTATTGTTCCTACTTTTTTTTTTTCTTTTCTTTTTTTTACAGAAACGTTCTGTGTATGATATGCTACCTAGTGCAGGCCTGGTTGCTATGGCAAGCTGCGCAAGTGGCTCAAGCAGAGGGTATGATGAACTGGTTCCTCATCACGTAAGTCTTGCATTAACATATTTTTAGAACCGGTATGGCACTGAGAGAACAGTTTTTTTCTTTTGTAACCTTGAGGTCGTGGTTTCAATCACTTGCTGTGCATTTGGATTGGATTCGATTTATTCGGTGTAAACACCAAGGATAGCCCACGAAAGTCTAGAAAAAGACTTATTTCCAGCGGGGGTCCTTCTGGTGGTGATTGGGCAGTGCACCGTGAGACAACCCCCTAATCTTTTCTGAAGAGTGTACTGCGTTCTTTAACGTGCACATTGGGCCATAAATGCACACGTGACCAACGGCTTAAACGTCTCATCCGAAAGAATTGTGCGCTATTGTAACTTGTATTTCAGCCCTCCAGCTGAAACACAAGATAAGACATGAGTGACGGAAATTGAACTGGGGACCTATTGCTTTTTTCCACCCAGGAGTATATATGTGTTACATGATAAGGTTCAATGCCAAAATGTGCTAATTAGCTGCTGCAACCTTTATGGAATGCTCCCCCAGTTAGCAGAGTTTGTGTACCATATGTGATGAGCATAGAGGGCCTAAAAAAGCATCTTACCCAGTTATCAATATGAAACATCTATATTACGGAACCTTACAAATAATGAGCCTGTTGAACATAGATCCCATTGCAGTTGATCAACAATGGCAAGAAGAACCGCAGCTACGGCGGCAACAACCACTCCAACAATTCTTGGAAGAATTTGCTTCATGTGGCTTAATCTTGTGCCAGACTCACGATGTTCCTTGTAGAGAGAGACAAACATGAATTTTCCTTGCCAAAACATGAATTTTCCTTGCCAAAACATGAATTTGCCTTGCCAAAACATGAATTTGTCTTGCCAAAACATGAATTTGCCTTGCCAAAAAACACAAGTAACCTAATTACAAACCCCCGAATTAAGGGCAGCAAGTCGTTCAAATTCAAGATAACTTCATGGCCATTTCCATGACACTTGATCTCATCATGTCAATGTACGTATCTGCCTTTGTTTCTTCAGATACATGTGGTGAAAGAGAAGCGTTTGTATCCAAGATGGAATGAAGATTGTTGCAGCAGTGCAGAAGTGAACCTGTCAACTGGAATTATAGCTGCCAAAAAGGCTCTTAATAACCTCCATCAAACACTTGGTTATGCTGGATTTAATCAGGTACTTTATGCTCCCTGGGCCCAGCCTTAAGCCCTGTGACATGACATCACGTCATGACCATATATAGGTATATTATGACTAAATATGGGCGTACAACTGTTTTCGTCAAAGAAAATTTGTTAACAAATTTAGACAGAGCTTTAGAGGTTGGTGACTTACGTTTTTTAATAAAGATTTCTGAAGGTCCATCACCTTAAGTCAAACGACCTGAATAAGAAAAAAATTACAATAATAAAATAATGGAACAATTGTACACAGAAGTGATAATTCTACAAAACAATATTGTATAAAAGAGATTTATTGATTACACTTTTTTGCTGTAGTGAAGAATTCAGTGGTTGATGTTATGTGAATGGTTAAAAGAGCATATGAATTACTTATTTAATTTTAACTTTACAGGACAATCATCTCTTATACAGTAGTTGTCTAAAGCCCTATATCCAGATTATAACACATTCCTTTGACAAAAACTTGCGACTGGACCCAGCCATGCCCTGTCCAGACTATCAACATCTTATTTTGACAACTTAATGTGACATACCTAAACATGGCCATGATGACCTCACATCATGACTATATATGGGCATACAACAATTTTTTATGAAAATTTAATAATCTAGACGGATGCTTTTTAATCTCCTAAACATTACCTTAAACAATAATAATAATTACAGGAATTTCTGCCGCACCCTTTGCCGAGGGTTACAAGGCGCAATAAATATAGAAAAAACATTGGCTGTCAACAGTGAGACAAACTTCAGAACAAATACCGACAAATTTGTACAGTTCAGTGAAATCTACTTATAGGGAACGAATGTTTCTTGAGAAGAACAAGTCATCAATGTTACCTTTTATTATGTGTATTCAGGAATTTATGGGTTTTTACTGAAACAATATATTTTTACATTTCTCTGCAGGTATATGTTGATCAAGTTGATGAGAGTATTGTTGCAGTGACGCGACATTGCCCCAATAATCACCAGTCCGTTATCCTGGTAGCAAGGACAAGTTTTCAGCCCCCTTCAAATCCAGGCTACACTGGCTATGTCCCACCTCTATGCATACCTGGTAATACAGGGTCTTTATTTGTAGCAGCTTTGGTCTCTGTTTAGAATAATCATAATAATAAAAAATATTTGTTAATTTGAGACAGGTTTTGAAATAGAGGTGTCTTTCATAAGAGGGTGACCTGTATTTTTTTATTATCCACTTTGATACAAGTATTTTTTGACTTTGATAACAGGAGTGGTAGATGAGATTGTTTTGGAAGCAAAAATGGTTCAGAAAAAAGGAAGCAGTGGCTTTAAAAAGAACAATAACTTTGTGAATGGCTTGTCGGAATACAGAGTGGAAATGCAGGAGCATATCCCGCTATTCAGCAGTAACATGGTGGAGTTGACAGACGGTGGGGAGATGAACTCACCGGTGCAAGAGGTGGACTTCATTGATTTTCCTCCGGGGAGTGTTATTGCGTTCCGGTAAGAATCTTCAAAATGTGTTGAATATCAGTTGTCCAGCACTCTTCTTCTCACGAGACAGCAAAGCACAATTGGTTCAGACATCACCTATGCTACTTTTCACTTAAGATACTTCCCATAATAGAACTCTAAAATGAAATTAACGATTAAACTTATTTCACACTTGTGCTTTGCATATAAATACAAGAATTTATCAATTCCCCACACTCAGTTGCCAAACTTCTAAATGCTCTCCTGTCTAACTCGTCAAGTTTCTAGTTGTTGATAACGGTGCCTTGCTTAGCCTACAGTATGGGTGCATTCGTGTGAGGTTTTTGTGGAGTCTTACATGGGATAAATCCTGAAACGGCCATTTCCAGTCCTAGCCCGAAACGAGTGTTAAACGCGGACCGCCTGCTGATATCTACATTTCCTAGCTGCTCTCCAGCCATTTATTCAATTGTCTCATTATTAATCTGATGTTTTAAATATTTATCCTGAAATAACGTAGTATATTTTTCTTTGAATAATTTAAAGTTATTTTTCATGATCAATGTCCAAGTCTTTTGTAACATACCAAAACTGTAGTAATGAGTTTTTAGTACTAAATTACATAAAATGTTTTCCATAATGCAGTCTAAAATTTTATTGCTTTATGTACATAATATCAACAATTTGATTTGAGACGACGATGAGACATAATAAGTAATGTCACCACATACTGCCATCTGAGCATGCGAAGGCTTTCAGTTCATATTTTCCTTCAAATTCTAGGACTGGTTTGGGCTGAATTTATGTTTGTTGTGTAAACAAGCATTTTTTTTTTATTTGTCCTAGGGAATTATTTTCATCACCAAATTAAAAGCTTCCTATTTTGGAATATTTTAACCTTGGGGAAAGAAATACTAAAACCACAGGATCTGAATTTCTAGCTGGAACTTATTTCAACTGAGGGCTAGCCTAGAATCCAGATTGTTCTCTTATTACATATACGTCCACCACATGCATACATGATCATGGCACCACTGCTTATTCGTTTAACAGTGGTAGTAATTTTCTGTTTTTAAACTACAATTGTCAAACGAATGAAGTTCATGGTTTATACGCTCAAAATGCACATCTGCGATTTATTGGGAGTTGGCTATGTATGCTTTATTATTGTTGTAGCTTCATCAGTAATTTCATTACTTGATTTTTGAGACAACTACAGTAATGCAGTGGACCAACGGCAAAGTCCGTTTCTTAATTAAAGCGTGGGGTGACGCAGCTGGGTGACGCAAGGGTCCAGGGCAACTTGATAGAAACTCATCATTTGCATAATACCTTAGGTTTTACGTCCGGGGTTCTTGGTTTTTTCGAAACCCGAGTTCTGCACGAACCGGTAGACCACCCGCGAATGCAATACCGGTAAGATTCCTATGTAACTTTTTCCCATTCCCACCTCAACACACCTATGATGATCCATTGGCCAGGTGATAATAATTTATTTCTAGGTATCTCAATTTTTGCTTTTATTACTTTGTTTTTTTTATATTTACTATTTTATTCCGTTCTATGAATAATGAATGAAAAAAATTTTTAATATGAGGCTCATTAAGTGGTAATTATACCATCTTTAAATTGAGTTGTTCTTAATCCGGCCCCCAGAATTAGTCTGAATCCTGTTGCAAGAATGGCTGTGCAATCGTTGCGGTCGTGTGTCGCTCAGTTTGGGTACCGTGTGAGAACTTTGAGCGGCAATTCTCCACGGAGCAATTGCGACTTCATGTCGATTGCGGAAAAGTTGACCCTGGGTGATATGAACCAGGTTCTGTATCACTGTGAGAATGAAGAAAAGGATGATGGGAAAGGAGGTGGCCTCTACCACATTCCAGGCTATGGAAATACAGTTTATTGCGGAATACAAGGTAACAGCAAAGAGTATAGAATAGCAAGAAGTCTGTCAGAGTTTGAGACTGCCATTTCCAGCCATCCAGAGTTTGCTAAATTCTTAAAAAGAATCTCATTTGGTAGGGGGAATTCTAGTCTCTCAGCCCCTTCCCTCAGCTCAGGCCTTCGATCTGAATTCTGCCTGTCGGACAGCTTAGCCCCCAGAAATTATATCCTAGAGCTGCCTCTGGGTGGCGTCCTATTAGAATTCCAATAGATTTCAAAATTATAGCATAGACGCAGCAGACATTCGATACAAATGACTTTTAGGTTCTTTCGAAGAGTGCCCTGTATTACTTCCTGGTAGTACCTTTTGAGATAGGATTCCGTTCCCAAGAAACCCTGGCAGTTTGACGTCTTGCTATTCTATACTATTTGCTAACAGCAAAAATCTTAATAATAAACTGATAAAGATTTTTCGCATGCAAAATACCGAAACAAACATAAAAGTCATATTTGTTATTAATTAAAGTTTCAAAATTATCATCTTGGATGTAGAAATTAGTGCATTTAAAAAATGTTTATTGTTTATCCATAATATAACAGCGAAAAATGATAACACTTCCAGTCACTGCACTGGAAGTGTTTTAATATTATCATCATCATTATCCATTATAAAAATCAGGGTACACATTTTTCAAATTTATTACTTTCTATGCTCAAGTTAATTGTTATTTTATTGCAAAATGAGCAAATTAATTTCAAAATTAATTTTTATATTTCGTCATTTTCAGTGAACATTATATCTTTAAGTCAGTTTACAGAGTTAAATGTTGCTTCTCCCTTGCCTAAAAATGAGCTTAAAGGCGATGTTACATTAAATGCTGAACTGGTATACAGTATAAAATCAGTCTTTCTGCAATCATAATGTACATCAAAACAAAACAAAAAAAGAGAAAAGAAAAGCCAAACCAGTCACTCAAAATATTTTTATTAATACAGGGTTAAACAGTCGAATCCGAGATGTAAAATGGTAAAAGAATCATTTTAATCCGACATTTCAATACGAAGTTAGAAGAGTTTAAACAGTCAGTCAGATACCATCATCAAATCATTAAAAATTGTTGATTTAACATTGAAAATTGAGAAAATAACAGTATAGCATGATGTATAGATATATAAATTTTAGTATAGTGTAATAAAATAGATTTCAAAAATTTTGACATTCCAACATGTTTTGGCCATTATCTCTAAAACAGGAATTTCTTTGATCACCAATTTCTCTCTTTTCATGAATTATCTTTTTCTTTGAATTTTTCATGTTTTCTAGGTTTTATGAGCATTTTATCTGATATCCATAAGAAGAATGACTTAGGACATCCACTATGCAAGAATTTACGTGATGGTGATTGGATGGCAGGCTACACTGCAAACCGTCTGAAATGGCATCCGTCAACCAGAGAGGTTTGTTCTCTTTTTTTCATATTTTAATGTTTCATATTTGAATGTACTGATGTTCTGCTGTATCTTGCCTATTACACAGTGAATGCCCCATGTACTTCCCAGGGCCTTGCTCATACTTGAGGCATGTTGTGGCGCAAAATGGCTAAGTTGTAGCAAATAATGAAATTCAAGATATTGTTATTTTTAGATGCTTGAGTATGTAATCTTTAAAATGAAGGGTCATTCATTGAAATTGGACAATTCAAGCCTTAGTTATTAAGAAGTGAAAGTACAGTACTCTTAGAGTCAACATACACTTGGTTTTGAGTAATTGCTTTTACAAAGTTATTTGTGCATACATAATTGTTTAATGGAAATAACTATCAAAATAACATTAAATAAACAGTTCGTTGCCCATTTCCAGAACAAAGACATCGAGATAGGATTAATTAGATATTAAACTGTTTGATCTTTATTGTAAAACAAGATTTTTAGGCCTTTTTTGAGCTCCCTAATGTGTTATAGCTCGCATACTAAATACTGGGCTGTGCGAAAACTTAAGCATTTTTTGCCACACCATGGCTTCTCTTGCTCCAGCTTCATTCGGGCTGTCCTCATCAGATAATTTTCAAGTACAACAAATATGTAGTAGTTTTGGATAAGATAACAAATCTAGAATTCTATCAGAGGACAGGAGAGATTGAATGGAGTAGGTTAATTAAAATGCGAAGGCTTAAATGGTATGTCGTCTGCGCGGAATGCACAGTGACACGCCAGTATATACAGCTTTAGAAGAAGGAAACAGAAAGAGTTCAAAAGACTACAATGAAGGCCAAAATCAACATGGCTGAGTGATATACATAGAGAAACCAAGAAATTTCTACATGTATCTAACTTACATTGACTTGCTGAAGATGGTGAAAATGGCGAGATTTGGTAAAACTTGCGATGTCGAAAGACGAATAGCATTCATGATAATGATACAGTACTAGTAGCATATCTCCATTTTCAGCATGCTACAAAACAATTTTTATTTTTATTTTTTATTCTGAGTACTTAATATAGGACTATAATTATCTTAAAAAAAACGTCTTAATATCTACTAAAAGCAAAATTCTACCTAATTGTTTCATAAGTTCTTGTGAAGAATTAGTATTTTGAATACTGCAGTTAGACCAAATGGAGCAACAATAAATAATCAAAAAGAGCAAATTCTAGAGCATGAGCTAACATTTTTAGTGTATGGGATGGAAAAAAATAATTGATCCGTGACTTGCTCTCTCAACAGCTTGGAAAATGGTTTGAGAATGCTTTCGAACCTTTGAAGCACATTCCAAGGTATTTAATTCCGTCCTACTTTGACGCCATTCTTGCTGGTGCTCACTCAGCCTTGCTTAATCTTTGTTGGAAGAAGATGACACCGTAAGTAACCAATAATTTATATTGGCTATCTATTATTATCTATTATCTATTATTATCATATATTATCTTTTATCTATTATTATCATATTATCTATTATAAGTCAATCATGACGTCATCACTGTAACTCCAAATGTTATTTGCCTATTTCCCAGCGTCCACTAATTTTTCTATTAGTGGACACTTGGCTTGATTTTTTTAGGTTCCTGTGCAAAAGAAATTCCTCATTAAAATTTTTTCATCACCGCGAATACATCACGCACCGCGATAAAAATTGAATTGTAATTGAAAATTACTTTTGTAAAACATTTAAAATAGAACCCGAAGAAAGTTACTTCAAATTCAATATTAAGTGAACAATTAAGGAATTCATTGAATCAATGGACCCTCATAAACACAACAAACTGAATGTTTAATAGGAATATTCTAGACCTATTTTAAAGACTTAAGGAACAAATTTAGATGTAGGCCTATGGCCAGGCAGGAGGCCGCACGGGCCTCCTACTACTACTAGGCCGTAGCCTAGCCTAGCATCGCACGATTTTACCTGTCTGCATGCACCGACCAAAAAGGACGTCAGTGACTGTATTCTCTCTCGAATGCTAAAATGTTTATTTCTTTGACAAAAGTCTATCAAAATAGCATTACAAACAAGTTCTTTCTAACACAATAGTTATTCATCGTATCCGTACTGCTGTACTGCTGATGTGTAGTTAATTAAACCAATTAAACCCGTACTGCAAGAGCAAAAGTCAGCATACGCACAGCTAAATTTAAATACGCACGTATACTGATCATATCACTATAGCAACCGATGACTGCTACAACAGTTTGTTATAAAAAACTAAAATTAAAAGACGGCGATTGACTTATAAAGCAATTAGTAGAGCATGCATCGTACACTAAATGGAAAATTATTATACTTAGGTTAGATTTAATGCATTCAAAAATGTTTTCAAGCATTAAATCTAACCTTTGTATAATAATTTTCCTATAATGTACTATGCGGAGCTCTACTAATTGCTTATTATTCACTTTAAAACTTATTTTTTTTAAAGATTGTCAGAGGAGGGTAGAAAAATTGTTTTATTTTTTTTTTTTATTTAAGCAAATGGTTTTGCCAAAAATATTCAGATGGAGGAGAAAATTTATAAAAAATGTATTGGTGAATATAAACACTAGTAATGGGATGGTTAAATGCTTCAAATTTATAAAGTTAGGAATAGACGTAGGAAAATCTTATTTTTGGAGATCATTTCAAGGCAGTGGTGGGCGTAATAGAAATTTTTTTTTAAATTCCTTTTTTTTTCATTGTGGTGTGTGTGCTAATTTGCCAAAAATAAAATTAAATCATCATTTTTGGTGGGCGGTGTGTTCACTAACAAGGTATAAAAAGTCTCGCCTAAAGTCCTAATTATTTTTAAAATACATCATCACAGGGCTCAGTGGTCTGGTTCAACCACTAATGTTACTAAAACCTTTCTTTCAACGTTAGGGAAAAATAACATTACGAGGGGAAAATAACACAAAAGATATTCCGAGTTAGCGCTAGTAATAAAGATAATAATGATAACGAATAATGATAGGATAATGTAATGATGATAATGTATCTTGTCTACGATCCTCACTTGCAATGTGATGCTTATGTTTTTGTTGAATATTGTGTACTCCATTGCAAATTTACTTTGTGTAGGATTTCTGTGGTACTTTATTTTGTGTGGTTAAAGCAACTCCTTGGTTACAGTAAGATTATACAGTATAAAGCATATTAATTCCTACTATTGAAAATGTTCAAATCATTGCAGGTTTGTTGCGCAAGGTTCCTCCTTCGTTAAAGCATTGGCACTTGGTTCGGTACAAATGTGTTGCATTGTCAAAACTGCGCCTCTTCCAAAACTCTCACCAGCCCTTGCTGACGTGCCAACTATTGTGGAAGAGGATTCTGGAAAGCAAAAGCAGAACGTTGTTAGCATGGCAGCAGGACTACCGCATTTCTCCAGCGGATTTATGAGGTCATGGGGTCGTGACACATTCATTGCTTTCAGAGGACTCCTGCTACTTACAGGGCGCTTTGATGAGGCTAAGTACGTACATCATGACCATATATGAGTCTTCCCATTCCAAAACCAGCTTTACAGTCACTAATTGTTAAACTGAGTATTAGCGTAACATTGTGGCAGTTATTGTATACTTTAGTACAGAGAGACCATGATACTTTCTCATAGCTTTGGCAATAGTAAGTCAGTTCCAGTAAATGACATTTTAAAGCTTATAATGTGGAGAATATTAAAGAAAATGTTAGACAGTCAATTTTCTTTTCTTTGGTCACTAATGCTTGTTCTGAGAATGGCAAGCCTCATATTGGCATATAAGGAGCATACAACAGTTGCTTTGTCAATTTTATTCATTTTATTTTATTTTATTCATTTGGCATGACGGCTCAGGAGTCACAAAAGCGGAAAATCCACTGTCGCCTGAAGGACGTGCGGCTCCCAACACACAGATTACCAAAAACAAAATATATTATTTTTATGATTAAATAAATATATAGTAAGATTTTAAAAGTATGAGAGTACAATTTCCAGGCACCTTGAGGTCCATATTCTAAAATTTTCTCATCTCAGCCCCAACAAAGGTGGGCCTGAGGCTCAGCCCCAACAACGGTGGGCCTGAGGCTCAGCCCCAACAACGGTGGGCCTGAGGCTCAGCCCCCAACAATGGTGGGCCTGAGGCTCAGCCCCAACAATGGTGGGCCTGAGGCTCAGCCCCAACAATGGTGGGCCTGAGGCTCGGCCCCAACAATGGTGGGCCTGAGGCTCAGCCCCAACAATGGTGGGCCTGAGGTGGTGTGGATTTTCATGCACCCTCTAGCACCAAATCCTGCATCCGACCCAGGAGACAAGAAAAATAAAAAAAACAATTTGATAGTGTGTCCAGACTTTTAGAATGCATTATTTCAGCTAGTCATCAGGAGCTTATCCAGTGAAAATGGAGTGCATATACAAAATGTTTTAATTGGACCTCCGGCCCTTTTATTACATAGACTCACATTGGCACATAAGGAGCATACAACAGCTGTTTTGTCCATTTGATAGTGTGGCCAGACCTTTAGAATGAATTTTTTCAGCTACTCATCAGGAGCTGATTCAGTGAAAATAGAGTACATATACAAACTGTTTCAAATGGGCCTCCAGCCCTTTTAATATTATATAGATAGAAATTTTTTAATATTCTAAATACTTAATCGATTTGACATTGTTCTTCCTTCAAGGTCCAGTTAACAGTTAAAACAAAAATATTAAAAAAAGTATATACAAAAACCAATGAAATTTGTATACACAAAAAGCAAGAAGAAAAAGTTTAATATTAACTAAAATTTTGCAAGGAATGCAAAGTTGAAGAATTTAATGAACTGCGAGTATCTGACTGAATATTGTTCCACAGTTTAACTGAGCAGTATTTGAATGTATTTTTCCCAAATTCATTATTCAGTTTTGATAAAAAACTACAGTAATGTATTATTTTTATTTGATTTTAGCACTCCCCACTTATCTATTCTGATAAAATGTATGATTTTAATAAAGTTTGTTAGGCGGTAATTTGTAAAAGAGCCTTTTATGGACATGGTCATTAACTTGTATAGCGCTTTTCCTTGCAGGTGCGAAGAGCTAGCACCCCATATTATACACATATTATACACAATACTTGGTAAAAAGACATTCACAAGATAACTCAACAAGACAAGCGAATATAACAAATGAAGCAGTGGTGAAATTAAAGAATCCAATGAAAATAAAAAAATCAAACAGTGTCTTAATATTGCTGTACATTTAACAGTAGCTATGAGTTGTATAAAAGCCACCAATCATGAATTAAAGAATCAGAATGTTTCCATTTTTAACATGCTAGAAGGATGGATGTCAGCTGGTCAAAGACTTATTTTATTATCAAACGTTTGTTATCGTTTCTTTAGGTACATAATACTTGCGTTTGCTGGGACTGTCCGTCATGGTTTAATTCCCAACTTACTTGGCGGTGGACAACATGCCCGGTACAACTGCCGTGATGCTGTCTGGTGGTGGCTGCAGTGCATCCAAGACTACTGCAGTATGGCACCAGATGGCAGGGAACTCTTGACGTGTAAAGTCTCAAGGATGTATCCAAAGGACTGTGATGAAGCTCAACCAGCAGGCTTTGTGGTTCGTACATTATCTTAATTGTCTCTTTGACTGTTAGGTTGTTGTAGGAGTTCTTTCAATATTTTTGTCCTGCACTGACACACTTCCAAATCTCAAACCCTCATACGTACACACATGTACATCCAGACAACATATAGAGTTAAATTTATGTGCACAATTTTTGGCCTTGCTTTCTTTATAGATTCATCTCAAACACAAAATTACCCACCTCTTATACTCATGGTCTTTCTAATAAAAAAAAAATGTACTGTATACAAATTACCAACAGACAGCCAAAAGGCTTCAGTTATTGCAAGTTCAAAAATTAAAAACTGAACATGGCAAAATTCAAGAAATTCACAAGACATACATAAAATAGACAAGATGTTACATGGCAAGTAATAATGAATAAAAAGCACAGCACCATTCATATATCTAATTAACAAAGCTAAAAAAAGGAAGAAATAAAAAGACATATAAAAAAGTCATTAATTATAAATGAAAGTTATATTAAGACCGTATACATAAATTCACTTCAGTATTTGGAAAAAAAAATGAGTTTAATAAATCAATCTATTCAGTTTCATCTTTATTGCAACTTTAAAGGTGAGTTTATTTCATAAAAATTCTAATAAAAACAATTAATTACTAGGATTTAAGTTAGACAAATACAAAGAGTATAAATAGGACAAGAGAGCCAACTACGCTCATTGAAAGCGTAAAAAACGATACGACATACGCAACCAATGTAGGATGCCCGCTACAAATGGATTACCTAGTAGTGCACCGTGCATGGTTTGTTTATTTGTATTTCTGTTTTCCACATGATAAAATACATTCATAGAGGGCGGTAGATTTCCTTATTTTTCTTTATCATCTTACCCTTGAAGCGGGCACACTTTATGTGAACTCGTACATAATGGGTGCGCTACATAACGATGATGGCAACTTCCATCGTAACTTGGGGGTGGGGGTGGAGGTGATGTTTTTTACAGGAATATGCTCTCTTGTTCTATTTATACTCTTTGGTTCAACCATAAAAAATACAAAATAATTACAAAATAATTTAATTTAAAAAATAATCAGCCAATTAGCTGATAACAATAGAAATTACAATAATTCATGTCGAGAACAGTAAAAAAAAAAAAAAAAAAAACCCAAAAGTTCTGCAATACAAAAATACAATAATAATAATACAAAATTGTCACACTAGGCTGTTATATGATAAGCTTTGGTTTTGTCTTTGACTGCCTTTCCCAGAATATGTAAATCAGATATGAGCATTTGATTGAAGGTTATACGTATGAAATAAACTGTATTGAACTATTAAGAAACACAGGAAACAAATTTGCATAAAAAACACATTTTTAAACCATTGAGGCCAGAATTTCTTTTAAATGTTCAATTTCACATATTTTGTTGTTTACCTTAAGAAGATTTCACCAATAATATGTGTCATTTTTTTGGAAAGACTTCTTAACTGATTCTTTGTCAAGTATAGCTAACAAAATATTTCAATTTGTAAAGTTACGATAATAGAACAGGTATGCCAAAAGTGATACTAAATTACTGTAAAATTTTAGGATCAAGATTTATCAGAAGTTATACAAGAATGTTTACAACGCCATGCTCATGGTATATCGTTTCGGGAAAGACATGCTGGTACAGGATTAGACGTGAATATGACAGACAAAGGTATGAAAACTGTTATTGTGAAAAGTATTTAAGTGGTAATAGCGCCCTCTCTAGTCAATATCTTTCTGAACAGCTTGTCCATTGACTAAATTGAATATGCATGTGATTACTGACAAAGCAATTGGTCGTGTAGAAAGAATTGCTGTATTTTTTCCTTTTTATGTATAATTTATTCCATTTCAAATAAATCAAATGAAAATTGTTTTCTTTAAATTAAATCTTAAAGTCTCTTTTTTTTCATTTGCTGTACTATGGCAATTTTTACTTCTTTCTATATCTCCAGGATTTGATGTTTGTGCTGGCATAGATCCCCAAACTGGATTTCCATTCGGGGGCAGTGAATGGAACTGCGGAACATGGATGGATAAAGTTGGAGAATCCGATTGGGCAGGAAATCGTGGACATCCTGCCACCCCAAGGTAAAATGCAATTCACAATTTGCGGTTTCTATGTATTACGGTTGGAGCCATTTCGACCCAATGTACCAAGTCATTAAATTGCATTACTTTTTCGTCAGACTTTCAATATACTGGAAAGAAAAGAGAGTGATAGATCACTATGTGTCTGATTAAACAAGCCTACTATTACTGTACATCAAATCAATGATTGATTGTTGATACAAACAGAAGTGTCTGATAAGATATCGTCAGCTTTACATGGACAATTAAAAACCATGATCATAAATGCATTACAACTGAGAAAGCCCAGACCTTACAGTAAAGACAAGTAATGTCTTAGCAGATTTTTTTTTTTTATATATATATATATATAGTTGGAGCAACATGTTTTAGACAGTTGACCTACTTATTAAAGTTCAAATCCTCAGTAGCAAGCACAGGAAGGTGTTGATTGTATGTTTATAAAAGGAAAAAAGTGATTAATGAACAAAGAACTATTATACGACAAAGTATATATGTAGGTCAAAGGTGATTATATAATGACATCCTTTATATAGGAATGGTTCTGCTATTGAGATTGTTGGCCTGTGTAAGAGTGCAGTTAAATGGCTTAAGGAGTTGAGCAGCCAAGGTCATTATCCTTTCAACTATGTACAGATCATGATTGATGGTAAGCTCAACAGTTTTCACTATTATATTGATTAATTGATTGATTGATTGATTGAAACATCAAAATTATGTGTGGATGTGAATACGGTTTTCTTATTCACTTGCTGTCTTTGGTGCTTGCTGTGCCAAGATGATTGGTTCGGTCTTCATAATACTCAAATGGTTATAAGTTACTTAAGATGAAGGACAACTTTTCCCTACTTGGGGGAGTAGATTTGATCTGTTTTCGCATCTATATTTAGATTTTTTTTATACCAAGGTTAATATTAAGTGATTTATCTATTCATTGTGTATTGTATAATAACCTACTTCTCAAACTTGTTCAGGTTGCAACCCATTTTTAGACTCTGTATTCTTTGGTGACTCAAGTCATATATCATCATACCACAAGGCCATTGTCATTTTAATGTATTGATTATTTAGGCCTACTTAAGGCTCAATAAAATCATAATGTGATGACTGTTTTCTGACATAGTATTGCCTTGTTGTTTAGAAAGTCTGTGCTATATAATTTGATAACCATCGGCCGTCTTGAGGCAAAACAACGTGACATTTTTGTCAATTTTTAGATCATTTGGGAGTATATTAAACACTTCTGAATTACCTGTGAAAATTTCAGGTCTCAACAGTGAGTCATTTCAGAGATAACACCACCTATATTTAAGCACAAAACTTAAAATCTTTAAAAGTTCAACATTAATAAGCAAAACAACGTATCTACGATGAAGATACGTTGTTTTGCCTTGGAATGGTATTCAATATTTTTTTTTTAACTGATGGAGTTTTGGCACAGTAAATTTCAACTCTATGATGGTGTTTTCATATCAATAATCCCAACGACGACATATACACAATCTTGATAGTGTATATGATTGCCCCAGACGTGATAGATTCAGAAAATGTGTCTGTGAATATTAATAATATCTTTGCAATAAACCAACGGTTGTAATTAAAATTTTAGATATAAAGTCTTGCAAAATTTCAGAAGGGTACGACAATTAATTGGCAAGTTGCAAACATGCAAACTCTAACTCTATTTTTCTCGAAAAGTGAAAACTTCAAATTATGTTGTTTTGTCACAGAACAGCCACATAGCACTTGCTTCCTATAGGTAAAGATATTTTGCAGTCTGTCTTTGTACTTCTAACAGTCAAACCTTAGCTAAGTCGAATACAAAGTGGCTGTGATAAATTTTATTTGCTCAACAACAGTCCCAGAGGCATTTGTTATCATCAATTTTGTGATAGTATGAAGAATATTTACTACACTCGTTATTTGAAAGGATTAATTTAAAACAATAAAACAATGACGAATTTTCGACTTATGCACAGCCAAATTTTTAGTAAAAGTTGACTGGGTAAAAAATAATTGAAGAATGAAGCTAGTACGCAAAAAGGTGCAAACAAACACAAAAAAAAAAAAAAGAAAGAAGCTAAATATATAATTTTAAATATGATGCAACATTATTTGAGCTTTTGATGTTTTTTAATGATACTATCAATCCTCAGACAGATTTTGTAGAAGTATTTGGCATTTTCGGAATTTTCAACTTATGCACAGTCGAATTGGGCCAAGGTTGATTGGGAAAAATATGATTTTAAAATAAAGCTTGTATATTCTTACTGAACTTGCAAGACTCTAACAAACTCAAAAAGAAAGGAAACAATTCATCACGATGCAACATGCTTTTATACAGTTGTCTTTTTCTTTTTTTTTGATATGGACAATGAATGTCTGAAATAAAACTTGGGAGAGAATTGCGATTGTCAATTCTGAGGATAGATTTTAGGTTTTGGTCTGACAATGAACTTCTAGCATTCGTCTTTGTACATCTTGGTGTCTCTCTCTGTAGGACATTTATGTAGAAGTATTTGACACTATGTTTTGAAATGAGTTGTAGATTTATTACCAAAGTCTGTCTTTTTTGTCAGAAACAGTTTCGCCACTCTCAAAATTTTTTTGGGGACCCAAATTTGGGTCGGGACCCATAGTTTGGAAAGCTGAGGTATAATATCTTAATAGGAATGGTGATAAATCCAAGAGAGTATATACCAATTTTATGTGTATAGCACAGTTGAAGGACCATGTGTTCAAATCTCATTCGGACAATGTTTTTTTTTAAACACTGCTTACTATATATATATATATATATATATATAGGAGCTTAGAAGTATCCATAGGGGGAAACTAAAACAATGAAGTGGTTAAAAACAGTACCATAAGGCGAAAGTAGTGTCGCTAAGGGGAAACTAAAGCGACGTAGTGTCGCTAAGGGGCAACTAAAGCGACGTTAAGGGGAAATTATAGACAAAAGAGTTTCCCCTTAAGAGCCGAATAAAGGTGTATATATATATATATATATATATATATATATAAACTCTATGGAAACATTTATAATCTGTAAAAAGGGTTTCATCTATAGTGAGTATATATACAATGTATACAAACGCTATGGAAATGTTTAGCTGTAATAAAAGGTTTTCTTTTTAGATTGTTTATAGAGTGTTTATGGAGTAAAATAGACAGTATAACATGTAATTTGAGCAAAATGTGATTATATCATAAATATAAAATATTACCATTAATCTTACTATTTTTTAAGTTTGTGTTCAATATTTCAACTCTAAACCCTAACATTTAGTAATTTTATGAAGGCCATTCGTAGTATGACATATGCAGAATGGGACAAGAAAATCCAGCAAAACTTTGAGAATAAATTTTGGATCAGTGTGGATGCAGACCGAGAGGTTGATAAGATGATCAACCAGAGCGGTATCTACAAAGACACGGTCGGAGCCACTCAATTCTGGGCAGACTATCAGCTTCGGCCCAACTACCCCATCGCCATGGTTGTGGTAAGTAAAAACTAATGTTGTCTACAATTTCGAGCGGTGGTATGGGATTGACTTTTGGTGTGAAATGGACCAAGATCGAGACCTGCCAATGTATGACTTGCATGCGTCGTTGAGTAAAGACACTTCTCTTAAATTTCCTTGTCCTTTGGATTAGATGTTGCAATAGTAGATTGTGTATGTAATAGTAATTGCTTATGCAAATAATAAAGGGTATATTGTATCCTAATGTAGTGTGTTTTGTTGCACCCACCTAGTCCTAGATTGAGGATTGACAGAATACATCACCAAGAAGTCCATTCAATGTACTCTAATATAAGGTCTTAGAATAACAGCGCCCTCTTGTGAGGTCATTGATTATATTGAGTCAGGTGATAAATGTTGTCACTATTGTTTATTTGTTTAAGAAAAAATACATAGACCAATAGATATTTTTTTCTGGTTTTATTTATTGGTATTTATATTTTGTTTGTTTATTCATTTATTCACTTATTAGATTATTTTCGTTCATTAGTTTATTCATTCATTAATTAATTCGTTCATTTATCTATTTGAATTGAATTTATATTATTTGTTATATAAATTATTTTTAATATATATATATTTATATTTGCTATTCATTCATTTATTTAGTTATTTCTTTAATTGTGCATCTCACAATATAATGATCCATAACTCAGGGATTTAGAGGCAAGGATCTTAACCATAAGCTACAGCTTCACTCAAACTTTTCCATTTACTTATGCAAATAATAAAGGATATATTGGATCATTATGTTGTGTGTTTTGTTGATCTGTTTTTCCAGGCACCTGAGTTGTTCACTCCCGCAAATGCATGGACAGCAATACAGATGGCGGAAAAGAGTCTTCTTGGACCGCTTGGGATGAAAACATTGGACAAAAGGTATTTATTGTTTTTTTTGTCTCCTAGGCCTACTGGTAAAAAAAAGAGCTAAATTGCCATAATTGCACCATGCAGCTCCTCCTGGGGTCTCAAGTGACCCGCTAGGTCACAGTAGTAAAGCTACATGATCTCTCGTACTCCTGTGTGGAAGCAGAAATAAAAAACGTATCTCATATTCAGAATGTGCATGTCTTCAATACTGTGATATATTGACGTTAGAAGTCCTTTGCTATGTGTAGACTATAAAAAAATAAACTTGCATATGGAAGCAGTTTAGCACAGCAGGAACGGTCCGGTTTCCCAACCAAGCTCGGGATTTCAATCCCTCGATGTGCATGTCGCATGTGCCTTGAGCAAGGCACTTTTTCTGCATTGCTTCTTTCCACGCAGAAGTATAAATGGGTGCCTGGTGGCGTTGCCTGCTACTCTGCCAGTATGGCAGCAACACTTAAGCATGTGGACCCAATGACCAGGGAAAAACTTACAGCGCTTTGTAACTGCAAGAAAAAGCACTATACAAGCAACAAGTAGCCTAACAAGTAAATATGACAGTTTAGGTGGCTATCGACTACCAGTCTCAAATACTGAAGTGTAGTAATCTACATGTCTCCAGCTTGCTGACTGTGTTGGCAAACCTCTCCAGGTCTGGTGTAAGCAGGGGACCGGCCCCCCCCCCCCCTGGGTCTTGGAGTGGGGTCAAATCACTTGATCATTCACTTGGGACAGTCGGTGTGTTTCCTTGTCTCTGTTCTTGTGATTTTCTTTTCTTCCCAACCATATGGATTCTTTCAATATTTTTCTACTCTCGACATCGGTTTCTTTCCAGTCTAAGATGCGGTTGTTTGATAAGCTAGCAAAACTGTTTCTTTCGTGAGCTATATTTAAGAACTTTTAACGTCATAATCCGTCAGGTGACTAGCAGAAGTTCTTCCAGTGTACTGTGATACATAGATATTCACTCTTTAATTAATTGAACCAGATGTTTGAAGCATCTTCTACCAACTTGAGACTTCTAAATTTACATAGATGTAATCTTCATTCAATGTGATCATTTATAACAGTGAGCTCTACAGCTGTCCAGACTATCAGATTGATGTATGCCCATATATAGTCATGATATGCCCATATATAGTCATGATATGCCTCTATATATATGGTTACAATATGATGTCATGGCCATATTTATGTCACATGTTTTTGTCAAATAAAATTTGATAGTCTGGACTTGTATTAATATGGAGATATTGCTTGTGGTGTGTTCTTTGGTTTTGTGTTTAGAATAATTTGTTGGATTACCTGATCATCTCTGGATTTGTGAGCTTAAATTCAGCTTTCATTTATGTTGGTGATAATCTTTTATACTTGTGAACACTGCATATCACAAAACACTTGATCTCAAAATATTAATACTAATAATAACTATTAATTATCTCTGTTTTTCATTTTGTTATAGTTAAATCAATTTATTTTGAATTTACTTTTTCGTATATATTTATATTGTATTGTCATTGTATTTGTTTTTGATGATGGAGTAAGAGCAGTTTACTGTTTGGGCTTATGCCTATTACTTACTCCTGGCAAGAATATTGTATGTATACTTTGTACTCTGCCAAATAAATATTATTATTATTATTATTATTATATTGCTTTCGCTATCAAGAGTGCCTCATAAACATTAGTATTAGTAGTAGTAGTTCTATCACATAAATAATAATAATACTCAAACATTTGTAAGGCGCAAATTCCAAATTGAATGATCAAAGGAGCAGCGTTATTACGTACAATCACAAACCAGCACAAAGTGCAACTTTCTCTGTTCCCTGGGGAGTATCCCTAGTCGTTCGCTAATTCTTTAGCGCACGAAACTAAAACATTCAATACCGCAACATCCTATCAGGTACCCATTTATACTCTTGGGTCTAGAGATAAGTGTAGATAAAGTGCCTTGCCCAAGGACACAAGTGACTTGCACAGCGAGAGTTTCGAACCCCTGACCTCAAGGTTGGGAGTCCAAGACAGAATCGATGTGCCAACCAGTTCTACTGATATCCAAGACCTACATAGTAAGTCTGACACAATCTGTCCTGTGTTTGATCTGTTTACATTGCTTTTTTGTAAGGATACTACAATACTTGTCATGAAATAATACAAAATATTAATTATATAAACTGTAGCAAGGGGTCTGACATATCCGACAGTAGGGTCCGAACCAATGGGCCGACTAGCGAGCGTCCGTTGTGGTCCTGAAATAGAAATCTTTGGTAGTGTTCGCAAAGAGAATTTTTATACCTCTGTACAATACTCTGGATTGCCAATCAAAATACCTGACATTATTTGGTTTATTATTTGATCCAATAAGACTTGTTCCACCACCAAAACCATAGGCGAGTGTGTTACGTTGGATCCCGCACCGATTTTATTATAGCTATACGTTGCGGCACCCCTGCCTTAACCGCTCGGCCATCCAAGCTACCCACTTATAATTTGCAAAATGCAAAGCGTTGGTTTTGAACCTCGACCTTAAGATTAAGAGCATGAAATGTTATTCATCTATAAAATATGTTTTTTTTTTAGTAAGGACAGAACAAATTGTTTTTAAAACAATATTTGTTCTGTAATAGAAACTAGAAGCAGCCCATTATATATAAAATGACCCAGCAAGATTATGAGGTTATACAAAGGTTATCTGTATTCCACAGAACTATAAATTTGGATAGATATATATAAAGTTATTTAATAGCGTTGACCTAAGAAATAAGGTTATGGTATAAATAAACATATCAAATATTATTGGCTTGTTGTGAATCTGTACTGGTGGTTATGTGCATGCATTTTAACACCGAGAATACTGGGTTCAATTCCTGTGAGCCACCATAATATTTTACACATGAATAGAAATAACTCCACCTGAGTGTAACATTGTCTTTAGGCAACATGGCCATCGTTGAGAAATTGAGTATTAAAGAAGTATTAATTTTACCTCACTCAAGTGTAATACTGTATGTGACGTGGAGCAAGAGCACCCTCTTTTGAATCCAAAGGGAGATATATTACTGGCAGGGGCGGATTTAGGGTTGGGGGGGGGGAGCGGCCCCTTTTGGTAGGTAAAAAAAAGAAAAAAGAAAAGAAAAAAATGATAGCCCAGAACGCCTCAAATGTTATTTTTGGGCGTCTACAGTAGAACACAAAAATTTCACTGGGATATGCCCTAGGACAGTGTTGTCTCGATCGGCGCAACTTTTGGGGGGCCCCCTTTTCACCCCCCCCCCCTTTTGGACATCACTAGATCCGCCCCTGACTGGAGCATTAAAATTTAAGAAAACATTAATAACACTGGGGGAGTCACTACATGAGTGCGTATCTCCGTCCTGTGCCTGAAATGGGCCATTCTATTATGCTCAGGGGAAAATTAAAAATTGGTGACCTTAGCTGTGTCCTTTGACCTTTCTTCCCAAAATTTAATTATCTGATCTTTTTTTTGAATATTTGGTATCATTCCACTAAATTTTATGATTATCCATTCGTTAGTTTTTCCTTAAACTTGCTAACAGACAGACAGTGGTGAATAGATGACTTCTTTTGGCGGAGGTAAACATCCCCTCTATGCTCGTTCATTAATGTGATTTAAAGTAAGAGTGCCCTCTTAGCTAGATCCTGTGGGATATAACTGAGTAGATTGAGAATTGAAAGAGTACATCAATAGAATGCCATTCACTCAACTCTAATAATGTGTCTTAGAATAACAGCGCCCTCTTGTGAGATCATTTGCATATATATTTATAATAATATATTTATTTTAAATTGACAATTTGTTTATTGTTAATTTATATTAATTTTATATGTTTAAATTATTTATTCATTATTAGCTTATTTCATTTTATTAGTTTACTCATTCATTCATTTATATGTTTTGAATTGAACTTATATTATTTATTATATAAATTATCTATATTTTATTTTATAATATATTTGCTTTAATGGAGTTATTGCTTTATTGTTCATCTCACAAAATTATAAATCCAGAACTCAGAGATTTGGAGGCAAGTATCTTAACCACTAAGCTACAGATTCTTTCATACATTTCTATTTTAATTGAACCACAATATAAAAAAAAAACACCATAAACACTTTACAAGACATGCCCTACTCCTCTCTGCAGAAAAGATTACCTGTGCTATTCAAAACTGAAACTTCATTTTTGGTGCCATAATTAACACAAAAAAAAATGTTTTATACACTCAATCACATGTTAGTACTAGATAATCTAAAGTGGTTTTCTAACTACTTGAAAATTATTAAACACTATATTTGTCTTCATGAGGATGCTTCTGTTGTATGCTAGTTAGTAGAAAAAAAGTTTATGAGCCACAACGATCTATTAGATATCACAAATCATTATCATGATGCACAATTCAACATTTGTTTTTTCTCCCGGAAAGTCGATGAGCCCTTCCCCACTCCCGCAAAGGTGAAAATATCTCCCAGAAACTAACCTATACAATATAATATAATATGAGTAGTTTCGGTATGAATCTCACCAAGGTTAACCCATTCGAAAAACTTGTTTCCAGTGGGGTCCTTCTGGTGGTGAATTGGACAGTACAAAAGCAGACAATCCCGTACTCTCTTCCGAAAGGCACAGGCCTTAATGTGCACGGAACCAACAGTTAAAATGTCTCTTCTGAAAGGCAGTGCACTATCGCGATGGAAATTTAACCGGGAATCTATGGAAGGCCGCGATTCAGTGCACACGCAGTGGCTATACCACCAGTTTAGCCAGCAGAGCTAAGCCACTCTCATGATATTTGCATGTTATTATTTCTACTGTATTATCAATTGTCTCCCAGAAGTTAGCTGGCAATGAATATCCCCATATGCAGCTAAATCAAACTAGATGTGTTGAGGAAGCTCATTTAACCCAATCTCCCAAAAGTGGCTTCCAAATTAGGTACTGAAGTTAAACAAAAGAAAAACAATGGTAAACACATTTTTAAAAAGTC